TGTGTGTGTGTGTACATGTTATTCTATCCCGGTGGGGACTTAAACCTGAATACACACTCATGGGGACTCGTTGTCACCGTGGGGACCTAAATTGAGGTCCCCAAGGGGAAACAAGCTTATAAATCATACAGAATGGATTTTTTGAGAATGCTAAAATTTTCTTTGAGGGGTAGGTTTAGGTGTAGGGTTGGTGTAGGGCGATAGAATATATGGCTTGTACAGTATAAAAACCATTATACCTATGGAGAGTCCCCACAAGGATAGTAAACCAGACGTGTGTGTGTGTCTGTGTGTACGTATGCGCATGTGTGTGCATTTGTGTGTGTGTGACCTTACTGTCTTTAGCTTCTTTAGAGACTGTTTAATTATAGTAAATTTTACAAACTATAATAAATCATGAAGCAATAAAAATTTTGGTTGGATGATAGCTCACATTTATGATAGAAATACATGTGTATTTTTATTTGGTTATATATATATATATAACATTTTAAAAAGGTAGTCTGAATTAATAATAGATATATAATAGAAATATAAATACATATAGATCTATAGATATATATGTTGTTAATATTAATTCAATGTTTACATTTTCAAAATAGTTTTAATTAAAATGAAATTATTTATAATAAATGCATATTTAGAGACTGTGAAATATTTAAAAATGTTTAGATTTTAAAAATATTTTTTAAAAGTTAAAATATTTTATGCTTTCAAAAATTAATTTGTGATTATAGGACCATTTAATACAAACTAGTGAAGGCAAAAATGTGATTAAAATGTAAAAAAACAAATGGTGACTACATGGAACTAATGTACACTCTTTGCCTTGTGCATTCCTCAAAAAGACAAAATATAGTTAAAACATTTAATATTTGATCATTAGTACAAGTTATCATAACGAAAACACGGGATACTGTGTGTACTCTTTCAAAAAAAATTGTTGTTTGCTCAACACACTTGAGAGATCATAAATGTAGTTAATCTGTGTTGGCACTGTGCCATGTCCAGAGGCTGGTGGCGCGTAATTCTGAGCAGTGCGAATATGTTCCAAAAATATGAACTTTTGCTTACCTTTAACTATAATGATGACTAAGTCAAAGATGTGTTGTTTTATTTAATCAGATGTGTCGTTATGGACGCGCTCTCGTTGTCTCCTCTGGGCTCCGCTGCTGTAGTCCCGCTGGGTTCATCAATAACCACTTATCCACGATCCATCAACGAGAGCCTTTTTGACTTGCAATAATCGATAAGGTTCTACTAGAAAAATATCATCCGAAGCCAAGCAGTCAATTAGCGCGCGAACAAAGCCGCGGTGATGTGACGGAATCTCCGTTGCGTGTCCGCGCAGGTCGCTTTGCTTTGTGCCACAGTGACCTCACCGGCAGACGGTGCGACGTTGTTGCGTTTGCTTTGAGCTGGGCTTGTCAACGTCAGTGGACACGAGCAGCGTCTCCCCATTCCTCGGAATAAACAGCAGCAGCTTTTTGCTCCGGATCAGTCGCGTCCCGTCCCAGCAGCAATGCTTCCCTGGTGCTTTGTGTGCGTGTTTGTGTGTGTGTCTGGTTTTGGTCAGAGGAGCTGCGTTTAAATTGCGCCCGGGAGCGCGCAGCAGAAGTGGAGCGGGCGGGCACGGCGCCAATCATCTGTTAGACATTTCCCTTTTCAGGAGCGGCGGTCTGTGTTTTCCAGCCGCGCTCCTGAGCGGATTTCTCCGCTGTTCCTTATAGAAGAGGTGGAGTGAACGCCAAGTTGTACCGATTTATTTGGCGCTTTGGCTGCGATTCAGGTCCCTCCATCACTTTGTCCTCTGACACGCATAAACGTGTGCACCTATCCCTGTAGAGTGTAAAGGCCTCCCATCGACCCCCCCACCCCCCTTACAGGTCCAAGTTTTGAACTTTATAGATCCATGTTTAGTTTTGTTTGGTTGTGACTTTTAGATTTTATTTTGCCCATCTTTTTTTTTTTTTAAACAGTTGAAAACATCAGTTTGTTTTTGAAGACATTTTCTGAACATAAGATGATAATCAAAACACACTAATCTTACCCTTTACAGACCAACTTTTTTTAAAAATCATTTTATATATTTGTATTTATTTATATAAATTAGTAATAAGACTTGAGTATGTGTCTAAGCATGGTAAACTGGTAGTGTATGTGAGCCAAAAATATTTAATGCATTATTACTATTATAAAACCTGACAATTTGGTTCCTTGTTCATTAGCAAACAGGGTTTTTCTCCTCCAAACCGACTTGGAGAATGTTTACCAACTTGAGAGATATTTTTATTTATTATTATTAAATAATAATAATAATTGTTATTATTATTATTATTGTTGTTGTTTTTAATTACAAATGACCATCATTTCAAGACTATTTCAAAAAGTTAGCAAGTTTAGATTTTAATTGAACCTAAACCCTAACTTTTTGTAATTAACTTGTGAATTTTTAGATTTTGTATAATTGTCAATTGTCTTTTTTTTTTTTTTTTTTTTAAGTTTTTTTTTTTTTTTTTTTACAAATGACCATCATTACAAATCTGAGGACATTTTTAGAAATGTGGCCCTCACAAGAACAAGCATACACACACTTACACAAAGGCTTTTTTCTTGCTCAGTTTCCCTCTAACTGACTCCAAAAAACACACACCGTTTCTGGTTAGAAGCAGACATCCACTCCTGTGCCAGAGTCCATCATTTATTTTCTTGTGTGACAGGCAGCCCTGTGTTGAAGTACTTTGAATGGGGGCTTCAGAGAGAAACAGCACCTTTTAAATAAAAGGAAACCATGCATTGTGGTTTACTGTACCAGCACTTTTATAGTGCTCTGTGCTTTACATGTATTAAAGATAAAAGGTTTGTAATAAGCAACACCATCCACAAAAAGAAAAAAAGAGTATTTCTAGTCTGCAGCATTGTACTGTACATTGAGCAGGCTATAACTAATATATTCTATTTTCTGATTTACCCATGATACACTTAAATGTTACATATTGCTTTTACATAATTATGCTTTTTTAAATTATTATTATTTTTATTATTATTGTTTGGTATGCCCCATTTTTAGTTTACATCTGACATTTGTACATTTGGCAAATAGAACTTTAAACATGCTGTTTTGGAAAACTTAAAATGACCATCAACAATAGTGCCATATGTTGGCTACAATCCAGTACAAGTGGTTAGGTGAATATTTATTCCTGCTCTTATTTCAGCAGTAGAGGATGTCTAATAATTTTCAGTTATATACCCTCTTTTTGATGTCTATCCATCCTTTACTAGAGCTCTTGATCTGACAGCATGCTTCGGTTTCTGCTACATTATGGTAGTAAGGTCACAGAGTTCAATTCTTCATCTCTCTTTATTCACTCCAGCCAAGCAGCGAGGAATAAATATTGACTTGCACGGAGCTGCTGTCCATGTTTAAGCAATTCGAAGAGAGCTCTTTCCCTCAGGATTAAAGCGAAAGTTTAATGGGCCCTTCAAAATACACCACCCCCACGCAGACACACACTTCGGGTAGTGACATCTACATATTTATGAGCATCCAAAGTGCATATGAAAGGAGAAGGATGTGAAATGTGTGTAAAAAGGAATGTGTGAGGCAAAACAGTTGCCCTCATAAATAAATAAAAAAACGTCACTGTCTACTAAACTCAGCCCCACAGAATTTCATCATCTGTAGCTGACAGAAATTTGTCTTTGACACTGTTTCCAAAACTTTTGGACTCAACGGAGGATTTAGTCATCTGACAACTGGATTTTTGCTCACAGGCTTTATGTAGCACCACATGGTGGTGTAGTTTTTCCCAGTGCTTCTTCTTGACCTCTTACAATAAATATAAAAATAATGACAAATAAATTACTGCTAAAATATAAGATTATTTTGATTTAAAAAAACTATATATATATATATATATATATATATATATATGCAGTTTTCCTTTCTTGCTACATAATTCCCAAATTTCCATTTGGTATTTAATAGTAATAAGACTGAGTAGGTGTGTCTAAGCATAACTGCTACACTTTAAAAACAAATCTGTAAAAATATGGCACAATGTTTACATGTATTTTGAATTTTCCACTTAATTGCATTGTTTTTATGTGAGTTAATGGAATTGTGCATAAAATGACTGGACAATGTCCCTTTTTTTTTACCTTACAGTGTAGTGTGCCTAAGCCTAAAATATTTATTGCATTATTACTGCTATAAAAGCTGAACCTTTGGTTCCTTGTCCATTAGCAGACAGGGTTTTTCTACTCCCAACAAACTTGAAAAATGTTCTTCAACATGGGGCTCGTATTTCATAAAATTGTGAGGGAGACTAAAAACTAAAACGAAATCCCGAATTTCCTTAAGACAATCTTACATTCCTTGAAATAAAAACAGGCAGACAAAGACGACAAAGAGTAGCAGATGGGTTTCTTTTCAAAACAGAATCCAAATAATACAAATGCACAGAATACAAATGCATCTTTTTAATGTATCGTGTAAGACTTCATTTACAAATCAAATTACAGCAGTTGTACAGAAATATGAATACACAAGGTGACACAACATCGCTGCAACATTTCAAAAACATCATAAAAACGTTCTCCAGAGAAAAGTAAGGCACCGACTGAATCGGTGGGTAATCAGACAATTCATTTAACGCATTTTGAGAATAAACAGAAACAGCAAAATTAAAATAATTGCAAATATAAACATATACATAATGTTCAGAAAATGTATAAAACGTTTAAAACTGGTTTTAGTTGGAACACACCTTGTGAAAGTTGAAGGTGCCAATGGCATGTTAAACCTGAATCACGTTGGGACACAGAGAGAGCACAGGGAGAGTGTGTGCTATGCTTCTTGTGCAATAAATCCTAAAACTTCTTTATGCTGGTGTTTATTGGTTCTGTAAACTGAACAGAATCCCTGTCACTTGAGTTCAGAATAAGATGGGTTCTTTAAATGACCGTCACTGTTCTGTTGTCTAAATACTTACATCTTCTTACATACAGACTACTGCAGAGTGGTGGGAGAGAAGCTGTGACAGCTGTGAGCTCTTATCAGGCACTGGAAAGACTCATTCACACACATTAAACATTATAAGAGAAAATGCCGTTTCATCTGTCAAGATGTAAAGAAACGACTCTCCTTAAGACACCTCAGTCAGATCAGCAGAGCGTTTGCTTTGCATACCAGTGTCTGTACGTGCTGAAGTAGTTTGAGAATTCTAAAACTAGAATTATAACATCTAGTTCCTAATGAAAATCTTGTCATTATTCACACACCCTCGTGTTGTTCAGATCCCATTTTAATAATTTCAAGTTAAATATAATGATTATTTTGTACATTTCAAAAGTAGGTGGTGATTTATACGACCAAGCTCAAAAAAAAAAAAGTTCCAACTTAAGCATCATAAAAGCAGTTCATTTCTATTCCATATGTATGCTGTATTCCAAGTCCTCTAAAGACATACACTTTTGTAAAAGTTTGGGGTAACTAAGTTTTTAAAAGAAATTAATACTTTTATTCAGCAAAGATGCATTCACAATTGATAAAAAGTTACAAAATATTTTTACATTGTTACTAAAAAAATTATAATTCAATGCAATGCTGTTCTTTTTTTAAACTTAACAATCATGACCCACAAAACAATAAGCAGCACAACTGTTTTCAACATTGATAATAAATTTTTCTTGAGCATTAAATCAGCATATTAGAATGATTTCTAAAGGATTATGTGACACTGATGTTTCTGCTGAAAATTCAGTTTTGCCATCACAAATACATTTTAAAATAGATTTAAATAGAAAAACTGCATTTTAAATGGCTAAAATATTTCACAATTTTAATTTTTTTTCCTTTTTTCGATCAAACACATGGAGCCTTGGTGAGCGTAAGAGACTTCTCTCAAAAACAAAAATCTTACTGACTCGAAACTTTTCAATAGCAGTGTATGATAGTGGAACAGGCCATGATTTAAGCCAGTATTCACTAAAAATCTTCCCCCTCAATCAGAACCCTTAAATGTTATTTGTGCTTGTATTCATTGTAAAAATTTGCACTTTTAGACATAATGAGCTCTGACAGAAGGGATGTTTATCAGTGAACTATGAATTTTAGTCTGTTCCACACAAACTATCATATAGTTTCAGAAGACTTAGAAGTCTCAGAGCATGGAAGTACAAATCACTTTCATTATGTGGAAAAGTGCAGCTTGGACATTATGCCTAACATCTCAGTTTGTGTTTCATTAAAGGTGACATATCATGAAAATCTGACTTTTCCAGGTTTTAAGTGCTATAATCAGGTCCCCAGTGCATCTACCAACCAAGGAAACGTGAAAAAGATTAAACCAGTAACTTTGTTTTGGGAAGCCTTTTTCTGCAATCATCTGAGAAACGAGCGCGTCTGATTTCGCTCCCTTGGTGAGTGGCAAAGGGATCTCATTATAATATTACCGCCCCTTAATCTGTACGTTTCCACTCACGGCGCCTTCATTTGATTTCGCAAGCGACAACGGTGTACCAGTTCTAATGCCATGGCGAAAGTTTGAGCAAAACATGCTAACTGTTCTGTCTTTGGCTGCACAGACGAGCACAGAACACTATTTACAGTCCCAGCCTCA